GGAATTAGATTCATTTTCGTGAATATGTCTCGCATTCGTGTCCATTGTTTACAATTTTTCAAACAATTGTTTTATCTTTATTATATTTCAGAAATAACGAAGAATTATTGTTATTTTATCTTTATTATAATTTAGATATAACAATGGACGTACTAATATAATAATAATATAAAATTATATTTAAATAAAAAAAAATTATTTTACCTTCATATTTTACACTTTTTCCGTTGCAAGACATCTATAATTTTAAAATAATTATCATATAACTAGTGGAATAAGTGATATTTAACTTTTAAATTAGAAAAAAAATATAATTTTGTAATGGGCATTTCGATAATTAAGTAATTATAGTTTATGTGATTCAGCGAATGGCTCGAGAGTGACTAATCATTGTTCGTAAAAGAAATGCAATTAAGTACACTCGGACGCAAAAAATTAATTGCCAGCCATATCGAGTTATAAGAAATTGCTTTAATAAAGCCGAGAACAAACATCATCACTTTTGCTTGAATAGAAACGATAATATTATGGAACGCGAATGAAAAACGGTTGTAAAAAGCATCGCAGATCTGATTTTAAGATCGAACATTTGCAAACTAATTGGTTACGTTCCATGGCTGTTAGTTATTAAGAAACAGTCGGAGAGAGTTGTGCCAAAAATAAAATTACTTCGATTTATTTATTACTACAATTACGTCATACATAGACGAGGAACTTGTAATAAATTATAATACTTTCATGAAGAATAACAAAGGGATTATATGTGTATTTAGCATAAAAAGGCTATGAATGTCAGTCACATATTATACTTTCTCTTTTTTCTTATTCAAATATGCATCCGATCAGTGATAACACAGTTTATACCGTATGAGTCATTCATATCTGACGATAGCTCTTTTCGACAAAATATTTTTACATAATTGAGATGGACAGTGAATCATTTTGGGTCGAAGAATTAATTCATAATTTTTAATAATTTATATTTATTATATAAAATATTTTTATGTTTGTTATTAAGAATGTTACATATTAAATATTTGAACTCTTAATATCAAGAATTTAAAATATTTGATACTGTAATATTTAATATTAAACATGTTATATATTAAGTATTTTAATATTTGAATACCAAAAACATTAAAATTGCTGATATTGAGAACGTTTTAATTTATATTGCTTATATTCAAAGCAAGAATTGAATAATTAAGGTTAGGAAATTTAAAAATTGGAATTAAATTCTCGAATAACGGATTGATACGTTATACCCCATTAACAGGTTAATAGTTCATTGAGCGAGCGAGCCGAAGGCGAGCGAAGCTCTTATACTTGACTTTGCAACTTCTTTGTCCGCGTTTTTCTTTTGCACCACTCAACCAATTTTCATCAAATTTTGCACGCACATGCGTATGTACATCCAGATGGACATAGAAAAAGAAAATTTTTAATTGGACGTACCACGGAGGAATAATCACCGAAAAACCAGATCCCCGTAGACTTAAAATTGAATTTTGCATTGAATTGACTTTTCAACTTTTTTGTCCACGTTTAACTATTTTTGCTTTAGCGTGAAATTTACTCGCTTGCTCAACATTGTTAGGTTAGGCGCGGAACGCCTCAATCAAACAGACCTAGTATTATTATGCACTACAGTAAGCATGACTATATCTAATGATAGTATTAAGGTTTAATAGATAGTATTGCCGTGAACTATACTCTTTCCAAGATTAACCCCTTTATCTACAAGCTTTTCGGCAGTTGCGATAGTCATTATTACTACAGTGTTAAGATAACTAAAGACCGTTGAAATATTAGGTACATTTTAAACATTTTAACCGATCTTCAATTATACAAATTACAATTTATAGTACAAATACGATTTAGGTTTGTCAAGGGGTTAAAACTATAAATAGATAGAGCATAATCATCAAATGAATAATTGACGTACATTTATCAACGAAGAAAAATTATTCTTTACTAAACACAAAACTAATCTTCTTTTCTTCAATTTCGTAATGTATGTCCGTTGAATAATCTTACGCAACGTGCAGAAAGTTGGAACTATGGGTAAGAAGATTTTTCTGTGCATTCGAGCATGCAACAGAGTTGAAAGAAACATTCACGGAAGAATCGACAAGGAAATTGGATGAAAATCGAAAGGGGCTCGAAACAGTCAACACGAAATCAAAAAATCACGTTCCAATGACTAATCGTCCTTGACCAGTGAGGGACATTTGTACATAGATGTATAGGGGCATTAATTCATAATGTATTTTTCAACTTCTTGGTTTTAAAATTTGAATATTTAAGAATTTGAACATTTGGATATTAGAACATTTAATAATTTGAATATTTGGACATTTGGGCATTTGAACATTTGAACATTTGAACATTCGAACATTTAAGAAATAGGAACTTTCGAAATTAGAATATACAAATTGAAATTAGAATATATTTCTAATCATATGAATTTAAAACAGTTATGTTCCCACCTTTCTAAATTTCTCAATTTGAATATTGAGAAATTTAATAATGTGGAAATTTCTAAATTTCAAACTTTAACAATTGGCCTCTGAAATTAATAAATTGAATTTGTAAAATTCTAATTTTTCAAATTGCGTAGTTACCTAATTTCTAAGTATTTTAACTTGGAAGTTTAATAAATTACACATTTGGAAATTTCAAATTTCTATACTTCTAAATTTGTACATAATACAATTGGATATTTCTATAAACATAAATTTTGAAAATTTGGCTTTCCATATTTCTATATCTATAAATTAAAAAATTTCTCAAATTTCTAAATCTCTCTTTCTTCAAATTTCTAAATTTCACACTTTGAAAATTTGAAGTTTTCACATTTGCATGTTTCTAAATTTCCAAGTTTCTAAATCTCAAACCTTTTTAATTTGTTTTAGAGTCGTAGAACTGTAATAATAAGATCTCATTCTACATACATCTGCGCACACGTGTCCATAACCTACACGACAGATATATAATCTGCCCATCACTGTCCCTAGCAACCAAAGCTTCAAAGTAGCAGCTGTTTTTCGTCGACCAATGTTTCTGAAGTCGTTCGATGAAAATCGATCGCAAGAAACACGAAGTGAAAATGTTATGGTCTCGACACCATGTATTAGTTTTTGCTACCGTGTCCTGCTACCTTTCTCCGTTGATTACTCAAATAATATTAGAAAAAGAGAAATTTTATTGGGTACATTTATAAAACGGGACAAACCCGTAGTGAAATGCGAAAGAGTAGAAAATCTGATGTTTTAAACAGTTTGGAAAGTGGATAACTTTTCAAGGTATGCGTAAATTTTTCTCTGCCATAAAATTGGGACGACAGGAACATGGAATTTGTAAAACCATAAAATCTTAGATCAATGAGAAATTAACCTATAAATCGTGCTGAGTTGCGAATTTTCACCTATAATATTTACAATTCATGCAAATATATAGAATTTTTGTATATTAATATACAAAATATAGAATTATTTATAGAATTTTTGTAGACTGAATCTATTCAAACTTTCAAATATTTTATTTATGTTTTGAATCTCTCAAATCAAATTATTTTGTTAATTTATCGATTCGCGAATTTGTACATTTAGAAACATGAATTTCTCTGACTTGGATAATATGAAAATTTATACTATAAAAATTTAAAGATCTTCTATTGAAAACTTGTACATTTTTAAATTTGATAATTTGGTACGATATTTTGTCTCTCAAAAAATTTACACTTCAAAGTTCTCTATATCAAACGACATCAATTCAAGCATAAAATTAACTTTCCATTTTATTCAAATATAAATAAATGGCACATTAAATAAAAAAAATCAATTTCTTAAAACTACACTTTGCTTAATTAAGCATTTCAGCAATTCAATAATTAATTGAATGAAAATGAATGTAATGTCGGATTTTATTAAAATGTAACTGGAGAATCTTCGATTTATCCGCGATCTAGATTCATTGAAGGATGAATGACAGAGAAAGGCGGGATCGATGAATCAATCTATTGAAGAGGGAGGCGAACGCAATGGACAGACTTTCCTTGGTCGTTTCGGTTTCAGGTAGCCATTTGTTCTAGCAGAACCGACACCGGTTTTCTGGGTCGCACCTCTCACTGGCCTATACTTGCACTCCTGGCAAAAGTGCCTATTGAATTTGCAACCGGCACTTGTCTGGTGAACGGACTTATCGATTCCGGATCGAATTTGTTTCTGACCTCGACAAGGATACTGGATGTCGTTGTCCTTAATAAACGTTCGCTTTTACGTTCAATATCCGTACTCAAATATCTAATTCCATTCATTTTTATAGTAATTATATAGTGTTTGCATTGGATTCCAATTGCTGATTTCAGCTTCATTTAATACTATTTATTTAAATTATCACACGTCAGTTTAATTGAATTTAATTTAGTTCGACCTAGTTTGGATTGGTTTGATTTAGTTTGATTTGATTTGATTCATTTTAATTTGGTTCAGTGTAGGTTTACTTGATTTGGTATAGTTTGGATTATTTTGGTTTGATTTAGTTTATGTTGGTTTGACTTACTTTGAAATGATTTAATTTAGTTTGATTCAATTTGATCTAATCTGATTCTCTTTGACTTGGCTTGATTTAGTGTAATTTACTTTAATTTCGATTCGGTTTAATTTCAATTATATTGATTTCATTTAGTTTAATTTAATTTGACTTGGTTTTGATTTGGTCTGACAATTTGACTCCACTCAATTTACTTTGATTCAGTTTGGTTTAGTTTGTATCATTGAGTTTTGCAATAATTTTTATAATTATTAATTCCCTTAAATTTCAATTCCTTAAATTATTGTAAATTTTTTGGTCCAGTTTGTAATTTTTTTAAGATATTAACTTTTGCTACTCCATAATTATTGTTTGATTTGATCTGCAAATCTTTAAGAAGCTGACAGTATTACAGTTCGATTTACGATAGCTGTAATTTAATGATTTTTTTATTGAAGCATTATTACCTCCAGCTGAACACCAAAGAGATCTCGCGATCTACCAGGTCTTGATGTTTCTAACTCCTGCATTTCGGCTTCACTCTCTGCCAGTCCCATTTCTCTTAAATATCTGCAACACCAAACGCAATATCTATTATATTAATAATATAAAAGTAATATTTGTTATATTAACAACAATATGTAATATCTATTATATTAAAATCTATATAATGTAAATATTTTTTAGACATATTATGTTCAAGTTTTTTTTATTAAATTAAATATATAGTGCTCTGCATAAATATACCAATCCCCTTTATTTTCTATTGAAAATTATAAGTAATATTCTTTAAATACCAATTCGTAATGTGTAAATATTCAGTTGATTGGCATAGTAATTAATTTTCAGTCCCATAAACATACCAACCGTAAAAAAAACTGTAATATTGCGTTTTATATAAAAAAATACAAGATCTGATCATTTATTGCATTCTCATCGCCAAAAAGTATGTAGACAATTCAGTTTAGCAAACTACCAACAAGATTTTTACTACACATACTTTTTACACAAATTTTCTATTGATTTATTTATTTTATTTTCGGCAAATCATCCTAATGTACGTGCAGATTTATACCTGGATACATTATCCTGCATAAATATTAAATTTTCTTTGTGGTGTTCTGACCAATCGGGCTTTAAATAATTTTGTAATACATCAATATAATTATTACTGTTCATTTTGTGGGAATAAATGCTATTGAGCTTTTCCCGTGAACCGAGAAACATATTCACACCATAACCGAACCGCCATCAAAATTACGTTTCGGAAAATATTTCATATTTTCACATATTATATCAATAACAATGAAAATTATTTGGTCCATCTACATTGAACTTCCTCTCAGCACTAAATATAGCCTACAAAAAACAAATTGTAACTATAGAACATTTATTTTTTGTAAAATAAATATTCTTACTAACATTTTTCCAATCAGTACTCGTATTTGCTTTAGCAAATTAAAGTCTCGCTGATTTTTCTTCCTCAACCTCCTCCCCCTAGGCATCGTTACCATTTTTAGCTGAACAATATGTAGAGGTGCTACAATGGTTTTACGGATGGTATTTTTTGCAGCATTTAATTAGTAATGATCTTGCAATTGAACTAATGACATTATCGAGTTAGCAGTTAATCGTAAAATTTGATGTTCATCTAAGGAGACACTTTTGTAAGCAATCTGAACACTCTGTCTTGTCACGATTACATGTTTTACTAATATAATCGCCAACAACACCTTTTGAACCTATTAGTTTCGCTGCATAACCATAATCTTTGCCTTCAACGCGAAAAGCATCCATCATGACTTTTTCTCCATGAGGCATTTCACTTTCTAACCATTATACATATACGAATCTTACGAATGTAAAATAAAACAAATGAGGGTAACATAATGAATTTTACTTATGACGCAGTTGACACTAACATAAGGAGACTGTATATGGTTGTTATATTTATGAAACGCCTAACAGGTTTTATTAAACCCAGCTTAATATTTACACTAATACAGCAATCTTCTTTTGCACAATATATTTTCTATGCACTAATTAATATTTAAGAAACAGTGATCCTAATTTCCTATAAAAAACATAAATCAACAAAAATATGAAAGGTTGATATATTCTACGTACTGTATTTTTAGTAGATTCCTATATTTTTAGTAGATTCTGACTCTGGAATAACAATACATAAAAATCATCCATATGAAATTGAAGGGTATAGTGAACAATGAACTTCAGTAAAAATTTGTTGATATTATTTTATTATATAAGAAAATATAACATGAAAATTGATTTTTCATCGTTGCATAACTATAGCACCATGTGAATGAATGTCAAATATGTACACACGAATTTGATTTTAATAACTTGTAAGGCCTCCTTGTTTTGTTATAAATTGAAAAATTCTATCTGGCATGCTCTCGATGAGTTTCTGAAAAATTCGGTAGCTAATTTCATTACATGCTTTTAGTATTGCGTTTTTTAGTTCTAAAATATTTTTATACGTTGTCCTGTTGGAAAGTTCAATTAATTGCATCATATGCGTTTATAAAAGGTAACAAATTGTCTGATAAAATTGTGGTGTACTCACCACAACCTATCTTTTTCGACGGAAAAGCCAATTACAATATGCCATCAATGCAAAAGGCACCCCAAACCATAACACTTCGTCCGCCAAAATTTCTTTCCGCCAAAATTTCTTTTTGAAAAGGATTGTGGTTCTTTTCGGAGATCTCGTCAATATGAATTATAGCCGTCCGGACCATCAAGATTAAACTTTTTTTCGTCCGAAAATATAACCTTATTATCAATGATAGAAGTTTAAGTAAATTGGTGTAAAAAGATTTTGACATCTAAGGTTAACTTACGCTTTTCCAGTCGCGATGCATGTTCGCTCGAGCGTATTCAAGCCTTGCAACATTATGCCGTGGTAAAAGTTTTGATGCAGATTTTAATTTCTGCTTCTCCATGTTGGGATTACTTTTCAAAACTCAACGTACTGTCCACAGTGAAATATTTAAGTTGAGTTCCTTTTTAATTTTGTTTCAACTGTTTTGGATGTTATTGGCTGCTTTTACAATTGCTCGTTCGGTACGGGGACTCAATTTTTTCTTTGGACCATCCTTTTTATTATTGCCATAATTAACGGAATTATTTAAGAAAATCAAAATGACTTTATGTAAGCGGCTTAGCTTACGGGCAATTTCCCGAACACTAATTTTATCCTCCTTAAACACCAAAACTTTGGTTACGTGGCATTGTTCAACAAAGAGTATTGTCAAATTTTAATTTGTATTTGAATAAGAATGTAATTATTTAGCTTCAGTGAGTTTGTAGTGAACTGGATGGAGAGAAATTAATTTAATGACATTGGTACTATAGTTACGCAACAAGCCAAAATCACATTTTCAATTATATCATTTCTAATAGAAGAGCAACTTCAATGAGACTTAATATAAAATTTATTGCGACCCATACCATTTCATCTTTTGTAATTGATTTTTTGCATTTTAACTCTGAATTACAGAACAACCAAAATAGTAGATGGTACTATAGTTATGCACCGCAGTGTAGTAGCAGATATTAAATATACTACTATGACGAAAGGAGTATACATATCAGAGAAAAGATCGTTAGATATATCAAGGTTAATAAGCTTCAAGGATTTTAAATCTGATTGTTCTTAAACAATAGATGACGCATTACTTCGTTCTTGACTGATTACAAAAAATATGAATATTAATTCAACGTTGCAATAAATCTGTTGTAACACGAACATTCTATATATTTATAGAAAGAATGAAGGACACTTATTTGACCTCATTTCTTTAACTTAAAATCAAATCGAAAACCTTAACACTTTGCTGTGCATGCAACGTGAGTAAGTGATCAAACTTTCTATTAATACAACGGTCATTAAACGTTCATTTATCCGAAAGATCAAGAAACGCGTCATATCATTAAAAAGTTGTGGCGTAGAAGGAACTGGAAAGTAACTTATCCTAGGTAAAACGTGTTACGAAATGTACTCAGTTGTGACTAAACACTTGCTGACTAAAAACTTGCAAACTGGAAACTCATGAATAGATAAAATCGATGTAGCCTTCAGCAGTGCGTAGCAGAAACATCCACTTTTATTTTGTCATTCATTCTGACTGACTAGATATTTATAAAAAAAAAAATGTTTAATTGTTATCATTTTGATAACAGAAGGTTTTATGTAATTATGCCCTGTAGCGAGACTATGCTCTTGTTTTGTATTGCGTTGAGAAATTGGGAAGTTTGAGAATTTTGGGATTTGAAGATTTGGGTACTTAGAGATTTGGTGATTTACAGAATTTGGAGATTTTTAGAACATTGTACATTTGAAGATTTGGGTATTAGAAGATTGGAAATATAAGAATTTTGAAATTTAGATGTAAGGAACTGGAATTGTAGGAATTTAAAAATTTGGGAATTCGGGGATGTACGGATCTGGGAATATGTAGACTCAGAAATGTGGGGACCTGGGTATGTAGGGATCTGAGGATATGGGGATGCAGAGACGTGGGGGATGTGCGATCATGGAATGCGTGAATCTGCAGATGTAAAGATCTAGAGATGTGAGGATCTGGAGATGTGAGGATTTGGTGATGCGTGGATTTACGAAATTGGTTGTTTAGATATTTCGGAAGTTGGAAATTTAGGAATAAAGGAACTCGAAAATTTGGAAATTGGGGATTATGAAGATTGTAACTTTTGAGGATTTAGAAATTTAAGAATTTGCTGATTTGAAAATGTAGGAATTTAGAGATTTGGAAATTTATAAATTTCTGGATTTAGCAAATTAGGGATTTGGAGATTTAGAAATGACTGATTTTGAAATTTGGAATTTGAAGCTTCTAGAAATTTGGATATCTAGAAATGTGGAATTGTGAAAACTTTCCTCTTGGAAATGTGAGATGCGGGAAAATATAAAATTTGTAACTTTAGATGTGAAAACACTATCTTTTATATCGTCACTTTCCTTAATGAAGGAAGGTTCAATAATTTCCCTAACATCACCTATTACGTCGCCATTTTTACCCTGCACGACGATTAGTCTCTTTACAACGATATTGACCTTTTGCATAATCGCATAAACTATCGTGAGCTCTATTTTCACGTTTCACCATATCATGTATACGAAACTATTCCTATGATAGAACCTCTTACAACAGCGCCTGCTTTAAATGACCTTATTTGTAATGGACTCGATAATATTCGACTAAAGATCGATGTATAAATATAATAATCGAAGAAATCGACAGAACTGGTATTTAGAAACTCAGGCAGAGTTCAAGGCAGGTTCAGGAAGGCTATTGGTGCAGCTATGTTGAAATATCATGGGTTAGAGGCGGAAGCAAAGGAGTTCAGGAGGTAGCAACGCTAACGGGATCACCGATACGGATTATTAGCGTTCTCTTGACGTATGCGTACACATGTACAGTCAACAGCAAAATCTGACTTCCCTAGGAAAAATAAATTTCCCAGCAATTTAGGGGAAAAATCTTTTTATTCGTTGATCTTTAGTCATTTTTGGGAAAATAACAATT